CACTAAACTATTTTATTATGAAATCTTAGTGGTTATACTTGTTACGAAGTTTTGATCTTTACTTTAAATCAAGTAGCAAGTCATGGCTTTTTTTCACGTTACTGCAAATATCGTCTTCCTTTTAATGCATTGTTCTATGATCATTTCTATTCGTTTATCTTTTATAACTAATGAAATAATTTCTAAAATTATTACTCAATATTACAAAAAAAAATGTTAATTTCATAAAAAAAGCAGTTATTAAAGTTACATGACCTTCTTACTGTCATTAAATATCTAAACTACACATGCACCTGATTCCATTGATTCCTTTTACTCCAGCCAATATTTTGCCAGATCTTTCTCTCTCTATATATATTTTTTTCATTCAACAGTATAAATATTAATGCGCCGCTGTTGGCTATTTATTTATAATATTTCGAAACGGCATGATTCATAATTGCAAGCCCACGCGACATATTGGCCACCGAGTTGTGGCAACAAAACAACAGAACGGACGGACAACGTGCATTGTTGTTGTCCGCTATCGTCCTTGATGGAAAGTCTCTTTCTCTGTATGAGTGAGTGTTTGTGTGTGTGTGTACCTCACTGTTTTCCACCTGGAAAACTACCTTTCTTGGTGCGTCGTCCGCATCACATACATTATTATTACGTACAGTATACATATGTGTATATGCACTATATACTACTTTTGCTGACTGTTTGTATATACATATATCAGTGGCGGCACATAAGTATATAAAATGAAAGTATTCATTCTTTATATTTTTTTTATATATATTTTTGTAGAAATGAACGAAGTGAAGAATTATGTTAAATAAGAGACAAATATTATATGTAAACCATTCCACTTTCGTCAATTTTTGTATTACATACATCAGAGGTTTTCCACCTTTTATGTCCAAGGCACACTTGAACCTATATTTAAATAGTTAAACTTCCGCAGCACATTTATGTACTTAGACTTAATTGGAAAATAATTGAACCCCAAATGGAAATTACTGACGTTGATGCTGGAAAATCTCATGTTGATACTTTTATCAATCGCGCGCATTACTCGTATTTTACAAGTTCATCAAAATAAATATATAAAAATATTTTTTTCTATTTTTCTTTATCACAATATTACGTAAAAGTTCTTACGATCCGCCACTGATAATATATAGATAGTTTTATATACAAGCAAGGGCGGCGTTTAGGGCCTTTGTGGTCTTTAGTACACTACGACGACACGGAACATTCAATATGCATTGTGTTCGTTCGTTCGTATGGCCTGGCCTGGTCGTATTTATCTGTTCGGCTCTCTTATTTATATTTCGCAATTACTACGTCCTTTATGTGGCCCGTCGGGTCGATTTATCGGCATTTCGCGAATTATTCGGTTAATTATTTTAATTTACTTTCGACCCCGCGCCTGCGACCGCGCGTCTGCCTCTGCTCTTCAAGCCCTTTGATTAATGCTTCGCGTCTAGTTGCGATACAATACAACACAGCAACAACGGAACAGAAACTGTAATTAACTTATAATGCTGTCTTAATATCGGAAAGCTCGGCTCTAATTACGGTCCGCTTGTTTATTGCTCGGGCACACGTAATAAGCAACGACCGCGACAAATCCGAAGCTGCGCCATCGCCGCCGTGAAATTTCCTGTTTAGGAGCTTTAATCCTTTCTTTTCCCCACCATCTAAAATTAGTCAACTTGTCATCGCTATAGTGGGACTTTCCGCGTATGATATCCGCGCTCTCGCAAAGCTAATTAATTATTCAGATAAGCTTGCAGCAATTCAATTACAACATTAATTGAAAATGGACAATAAAATGTATTTATTTGTAGTCAGACTAAAAAATGTTCACACCTCGTCAATCGTATGGTTAATGCAGCGGTCGGCAACATTTTAAGACTTCTGATTAACAAGAATTGAATGCAATTTTAATATTAAAAAAATACAAACCAAATTTAAGTTTGCGCTTGAACTTTAAAGTCGGTGCTAATAAAGAAATTTAAATTATTGAAACGAATGAATTAAGTATGAAAACACATTTTAATAATTTTTTCTAATTATTTTATTTAGAAAAATTAGAGGTCCATTTTGATAAACATAAAGTTATATTGTTTATGCGGAACAATACTTAACTTTTGTAGTTATTTTCCTGTAGTCAAAATATCTATAATTCGAATCAAAACATACAAATATAGTCTTGCATATTGTTTACTAAGAATTTTACTAAGTTTTAGGTTTTTTAATCTTTAGTTGGTTTCCATTGAAATCAGTATTTGCGTCCTCCACAAATAATATTATAAATATGTTTATATTTATGAGTATATTCAATAACAGCTTATTAGTAGACATAGTCCTTGTTTTCCTAATTTACTTCTAACAAGAATTATTGAAATTGGTGGTATTTTTGATGGACGTAAATTAAATTTGACTTCGTTTATCCGATTCATTCATTTTAAGTTTAGATTCAAGAGACTTTATTAAGCATTGCTAACTTCTTCTAAATAAATCATTTAGTTACATTATGTATCAATTTTTTTTGTAGTTTATTATTTGTAGTAATTATTAAGAAACTATTTTTTTTTATTCTTTCTAGTCAAATATGCAACCACATATATAAATGTATATTAGATAACAATATAAACAAAAAAAGGACTGAGTCGCATTGTTTCACTGGATGGTAAGTATTTCGTTCTATGTCTCCTCAAAACAGCAGATATCAATAATATAATTATTATTCTGCAATATTAACATTAGTTAAAAAGTTTTCCTTTGATAATTACACAAAATAAATGTTTATTTTCAACCAAAAAGTGTCAAAATTGATGCAAGGAAGTAATATTTGTATGAGCAACATAGTATTTCAAAATAAATTATTACTCAATTTATATTTATTTGACATTAAGATAATATTATAATGTGTATTTCAGTTTACAACAATAACTTATAGCTGCTATCAGATAATGAATTTCATTGATCGTTAATGACAACAAAATGTTGAGATTTCAAAGATTGTGAAATAAATTAAAAATAATTTCTAAATAATTGGTATACAAAATAATTTTCTTATACAAAAATGATCTTTTGTACAATATACCGTTTTTGTGCATAAAAATAAATGCTCGGTATAAAATAGTTAAGAATATTGCTGGAAGCTATTATTCGCACTATGTAAGACAAAATTATAAAAATGATAATTATTTTATAATTTCTAGTCTACAATCTGACAAATCAATTATGAATAAATGACATAATTTTATTTACATATTTTGATTATTAAATTTAGTCAAAAATTTCACTGAACATAAAATCGTTTAAATGTGCATCCAGATAATAAACTATTTTAATTAAGTAATACTAAGACAACATTATACATCACAAACTTCTCTACGATATTTTAATTGAGATAAGATAAATTATATTCAGAAAATATAAATGATTCATTTAATTAGTCATTAAGATAATTTTAAAATATGAACTTTAGCACAATTGTAACATGCAGCTGCCACTAGATACGTGAATTTCATAGAACAAGAAATACTTGAGGTCTGAAACATTGTGAATAAAATATATGAAAAAAATTACGACCCAGTTCCGTTCCGACATCTACGTCGTTAAGCACATCGGTAAAATTATATAAATTATGGAAGAAACTTCAAATTTATTTATAAAAAAACATGCATATGTACATATTAGCATTTCTTATCTGGAGCTGTTGAGCGTGAAGATATGGGAGATGACGACGATAAAATAGAAGTTGTTGCTTCAAGGGTGGAGATCCTGGATTAATAGTCGAATAGTAATTGCAGTTTGCTTTATAATTTTCTTTATTTCTTGATAAATTTATCTATAGCACTTTAAAAGTTCACTCATCTCACGTATTTGAACTCAAGCATAGCCGCATATATTTTGGAAAACACACCAGCTAACCCATTTACCGTGAATTTCTTTTTCACTTCTTCAATTTGAAAGAATAAGTAGAGGAAAGACTTCTTCTTTCAAATCCTGGATTGCTTCTAACTCTATTGCCTTAGTTATTTTGTACAGCTTCAGGCATTTTTACCTAAAAATCCCGGTTTCATCCATATTGAATATCTGTTCCGGGTAGTACCTGCCTTTTTAATTATTCCATCCAATTCGTCAACAAATTATCCTGCTGCTTCTATATCCGCACTGACCGCCTTACCGCTGATTCTTCAATTATGCAGGTTGAATCACCGCCTAAAGTTTAGTAAAGTAAAGTTTCAACGGTTTTTTGCATCTGTTTGTCAAACCATATCGCCAATAATTTCTCCATCTTATGAATAAATCTTGATTTGATTGAATTTTTGAGGAACAAGTATTGCTTTAAAGCAACAATAAATTTGCTTTTTTTATAAATACTTGATGTGTATTTATAAAAATAGGTTTCATTGGATTTGCAATGCAAATTGGTAATCTGCATTTATTTATGTCGCATAAACAACTGTATTTACTATTATTTCAAACATGGTTCAGTTTGTAAATATTCTTATTTGCAAGTGCGCCTACTCAGACGCTAAGTATACTATTATGTTTCAAAGCTTCCTATACGAAAAATATTGTATATTGGAAGAAACTATGTAAGAAAAAATAAAAATATTATTGAGACAGTGTAGATTTTTTTTAGACAATCTTTGTTCAGCAAGATATGACAAAACCCGCACATAATTTAAACTATTTAAATTAATTTTAAATTTGTATAAAGTTAAATAAATCCAATTTGTTTTTGCAATTAATATTACAATTTGGGGAATTGTGTACTTGGGGAATAATTAAAAAATGCATATCATTGAAATTATTTTATGCAACAGAATTGTAAATGGCATTCAGTATTTGTTTATATTTTGCATAAACATAAATTATGTTCACTGATATTTCTGAAATGGTATAGTTTGTAAATATTTTGATTTGTAACTGCACCTACGCGTAGTGTAAGTTAAGCCAAATGCATTTGGCTGGTAATTAGTAAGTTAGTGGTTTAGTGAGGAAGTGATGTGCGTAGTCTTTATAACGGGCGCACGGAGGAAACGAAACTGCGGACGACTTCCTTCCGGGTGCAGAGTGTTTTTTTTTTCGTGCTGCGAGCGCGCGCGTGCTTCCTGTCGAATTTGTTACGCACACAAATACACATACTAACACACAGAGAGTCGTGTATGCTTACTACATACGTATACATTCAGACATAGAAACGCACGCGGAATTCCTCTCTACTACACGGAGGGAGGGATCTCGGTGCTCCATGTAAGGACGAGTTGTCCTTATAAGGAGCTAAATATGGGACTGGGCAGTCCTTAGCGTTCAACATCCCACTGTATTCGGTTTACGTAATTGCGCGGATCCGGCCCAAGAATCGTCCATCGGGATGGAAAGGCGCGAACGGCGGGATTCAGACGAAAGGTGTTGAGGGTGGTTCCTTGCTGACAAGGTTGCCGATGGGGTGAATTGGATGGTCGATGGGGGTGGTGTGTGTGTTTGTGCGAGTGTTGATGGGATTTTCGTGTCGTGGAGGGAGAGTGCGCGGTGTCGTTGCGCGTTCCCCGTTTGAAAGAGATGCGCGCGCGCCATCCACGCGCACACAGCACACGCGTTTGCCGTGGTCGGGTTCTATTGTGCGCTCAGCTGTGATTGTGTGTACTCGGTTTGTTGTTGTTGTTGGTGTGTTGTCGCAAAAGTTGGTTGTTTCACGCCGCCGTCCGTAATATTACGAACAGATATATTAACATAGAGTATTACGTCCAATTGGAAGCGATAGACAATAGTCGGCAGAGTTGCTGCGCACGTAGAGAGTATACCACCGCCTTGCGATACCCAGTAATCATTTCAAACTGTGGTGCGGAACGATGGAACCAGGCGGGAGGGACTCCCGGTTCAACTTGGGCTACAGCATGAATCTGCTGAGCGGCGAGTCCGTGCCCGAGATCTACGGGACTCCGGGGCCAGGTGGACTTCGCGGGCCGAGCACAAGTCTGCAGCAGCTGTCGCCCAGGCACACGATGGTGTCGGGGGGCGGCTGCGGGGCTCGCGGCATCAAGTCGGACGTAGTGTGCTACGACGATAGGGGCATGTCAAGTCAGGGCCTAGGTTTGGAGGCATGCGGCGTCAACGACATTGGCGATGACACCTACGGCACATTGCAGCCGAAGAAGTCACCGCCGAGCAATGGCAAGAAGACCAAGGGCCGCGTCAAGATCAAGATGGAATACATCGAGAACAAGCTGCGTCGCTACACGACGTTTTCCAAGCGGAAGACTGGCATCATGAAGAAGGTGAGAGATGATAACCTCTTTTTTTGACGTTTGCCGTCGCGCATGCACGCCGAGACTGCGCGCTCTCGCAGAGACCAGACCACTGTGTCTACTTACATGTATGTGTGTGTGTGTATGCGAGTATGTATGTGTGTGTGTATACGTTCGAGCGTGTGTGTGTGTGTGTAGTGGAGAGCCGGGCATAAAAAATGAGCTAAGGAGATATACATCTGCGAGCAATTATCTAAATTCCCGGTCGCGCGCGGCGCTCAATTCGTTGGCGTCGCGACGGAGCCGTCACTCACCGCCTAAACTCTCCCCGTGGCCAAACGGCAACCGCCAAAGCCGCCCCCAACACCTCCGAATGCATCCCGATGTTAACACGTGACTCTGATAATTATTGTGGCTCTCTTGTACTGTTATATTGTTACGACGAGCGAACGCGCGCGCGAGGCTCACACATACACATGCACGCACATCCATACACATGCACACACACACATATATACACGGACAGTCTTCAAATTACGAACATATGTTCCGTTTTGACAGCCGATGCTCGGCATATTTCCACATGTTAATTGCGCCGCCTATGCTATATCGGAATCGACGCCACAGAAATCCCGCCACTCCACCCCCCGTCGTTTTCAATACATTTTCGATTCTTAAGACTTGATACGTCACAAAGCAACAAATCACCGTCCTATGACATAATCTTCTTTTTATTTTGCTTTCAAATAATAATGCATATGGTTTGCTACTTTGTAATGTTACTGGATTTAACTCGCGTCGATTAATATTGATATAATAACTATTATTCGATTTACATAAACCCATATTTATTACTTCGATGTTTTATATGACATTTCTAGTAACAGCTGAAGAAATGTGCAGAAATAGTTCCGATCATTATAAAATTTCATTACCCGTTGTGCCCACTACTTCCAGTCGAAGCAAGACTTAAAATATCATTGCTAAATATATATAGGGTGGAAAGATGTTTTTATATAATATTGATAATATTATTAATTAATTTAAGTACATCTAAATAAAACTATTTATTGACATTATTTTGATAAACGAATCACTTTCATTAAAATTACTACTAAAATGGACTATTTTGAATTATTGAAGAAGTGAAAAAACTTTCTTCAACTACATAGAAAACAATTACTGTCTTGTATAAACAAAATATATATTTACTAAGTTGGAAGCATAAATATAGAAAATGATATAAAAGTATTTTAAATAATTACATTTTATTATATTCTGTTAATATGACAGAAATAATTAAGTTCCAAGTATTTTCCAATATTCTAGATGTCATATATAAAATATATTTTTTTTATTTAGACCAAAAAAAATAAAGTAATATTATTAACAAAATATTATTGTTATAATATATTATATTAAATAATAACAAATCCATGTATCATAATTATTTATGTTGATAAAAATATAATTTATGTTACTAAGAATCATCTAAATTTATTTAAGTTGATAAAAATATAATTTATGTTACTAAGAAGATGATATTATGATATTTTTATATGTATAACATCTTATGTTTTTTGTTCTTTTCTTTTCGACTAAACACCAAACCAGTCATTTTGTCGTTAGTTCTAGTATTATTTACTATATAAGATATAGATATTCTCTTTTCATATTTATAATCATAAATTTAACGTTTGCTTTAAATTAATACAATCGCAAACTCTTAAATTTCTCGATGGATGAAAAATGGACTTAGACCACTTTAAAAAATAACGACTCATTATTGTATGTAGTTAAACACTTAATATATAATTATATGAAGTCCATCTGTGTTCTAGTTGATGTTTGACAGGTTACAAAAGTTACACAACTAGTAGTTTTGAAAGTACTTCAACGTATGACATATATTACATATCATGTATTCGCGACCGTCGGCAATACTGATGCAGTATAGTAAAGTAAATGATGATTATTAAATTGTTTTTTATATTACTTAAAATATAAAATTATATATATTAACAGTATTAGAAGAAAATTATACATTTATTAAATTTTATACGTGATCCCGCCGGATTTATTCTGAAGGTAATATGGAGAAAACTTAGCGTTCTAGAAAAGGTTAAAAAATTTAGTAGTTTTTAGGGTTCTGTATCATTTAAAAGATAGCAAGATCAATTTTCATAAATTAATATAAATATTAACATTAAAATAAGCTTTAGTTACAATTTTAGAAGATTTATTTGATGTTTAACATCATGATTTTACATTTAAATATATTTCAGAAAAAGCACGACCTGATACAGATGTTGATAAAACTGGTATTAACTATGGCGCATGTAAAATGCAACATTGTAATTTTGACGTCAATCCATCAACAAATTAGTTCACAATATTGTTGTACATAAATCATATGAAATTGAAACTATGGACATGTGTCTATAACATTAGTCTGATTGATATACTACTAAAAAAGTACATAAATATATTTATATTCCTAAGAAAATATAAAATCTAAATGTTTCTTAGTAAAAAACATGTAGAATATTCAAAATATCACTGCATAATTTTGAGCCGAATAAATATTGTTCTGTTATATAAATAGAGATAATGTGCAGTTTGATAAAAACATTTAATATATCTCTGTTAATAAACTAATAATTACTATTTGAAAGTTAATAAGGAAATGTTTTTTTTTGTTCATGTGTCACATTTGAATACAAAAAATATCTTGATTTGTTCTTTCATATATTCATTAAAAGTAATAAGTGTATTAACAAAAAAATGTCATATATATGTTAATCATAGCAATCTTTTTTAAATCTGTTTCTCTTCCCGTGTCCGGTAATAAAAAAGTAAATCTATATAATTAAGTTGTAAATAATTTAAAGAATGATTGACAATCATTGCTGTTTTCGTCGTTTGCTTACATATATATTTTTTCTCATATGCATTCACTATAAATGTTAATATTTTAGCATACATTACATTAATGATTGGTTATGATAATAATTACAGTACGAATGATAACGATTGCTGAATATTTTGAAAACGGCATTGCGTGAGATTAATGGATGGAATGAATATAAACAGCGTTTCGGAATTAATTACTTTCGTGATTAATGATTGACGAGGATCTCTTTGTTTTGTTGCTGTGGTCGAATCGAGAGAGCCAAGTGTGCAGAGAGGCTTGTTTATTGCAGTATTGTTCAACAAATTTCACTTTTCCAGCAATCGACGTTAAAACATCTGTTTGTTTTCGTCTTGCAAATGGACAGATTTATTGTGCCTCCTCATTGCTACACTGATTCCTTTAATTTGTTAAGTAGCAGCGCTCATTTGTTCGACATTGTTGCGTAGGTATTGAAACTGTTGTAATAATTATGTGTTTCACATTAACTAGATAATTAAACCTGTATTTAAATAGTTCTATAATTATATTTGAATTAAAAATGGGGAACATGCAACATTACAATGTAAGTTGTATATTTGTAATAACAAATGAGATATGTTTGAAGAATGTTGTGAATACTGCTTGCGCAGATCAACATTGGCATTCAGGGAGATATGTCAAAGAAATATTGAATTAATTGCGTATAATGCGGGTAGGTAGATGGCAAAAAATATGTGGAATTATTGCTAATTTAACGATATTAATGCTTCATGTCGAATCTCGTATGTTTTATAATTATATAGAAGAAGTGAATAAAAGTATTCGATTTATTGCATAGATCGTGACAGGGAAGACATTGTCCGCCGGCGGATCATCATCATCATCATCGTCGCTTTCAATTAATTTTAATTGCCCAGTTTTGCATCCCAATTAATGCTCTCGCCCGACCTACAATCGTTTTCGAACACACCGAAATATATAAATCATTGTTTATATTATAGAATAGAAAAATACTTAATCTTGGATATTAAGTCCTTTTAATCTGTTTTATTGAATTTAAGCATTATGCAAATAATAACCGACAGAAGAAGTATACATGATTTTTTTACTAATAAAATTAGTGCAATTATTATTTTAATTATATATGAGAAGTCTTTTAAGAATTAAAAGTTTTATATTTAGTTTATTAAATTCACTCTAAAGTTTCCGCAATTCAGTTATAAATATTTGTACATTGTGCAATTTATTCGATCTTCTAATTTACAATCAAATATTTATTTTTCTATACTATTTGATATTAACAGCTGTTTCTGTATTTTTATGGATTAACACTCACACAACAACAATAATAAGATGCACCCCAATTCTATGTCGATTTCTCTATATAAAAAAACGTGCTGTGTATTGTTAGAAAATAAAATATTACATGAAAATAATAAAAAGTATTTATTTTTCATTACAATATGACTTTATATTTATTAATGATAATAGATTCAACAATTAATTATGGTTACATTGATTAATCCTATTAATAGGATATAATTGAAATAATACAAAAAAATCCTTTCTTTTTAATGTCATTACAAGTTAGCACTTGTGGAAGATTATTCGCGAATCCCAACTTTTATATTTCTTATTTTCGAATCGAATTGCCAGAGCATCCGGTGTATGTGTGACATTATTTTTATATATGTGCAGTTTTTTTGCGCCAATTACACACGTTACAATTTATTAATTCTTCGGGGTCCGTGAATGAACGAATTGCTCATGTGTGATCATAAAGGCCGTTCGTTTTTTTCACCTCTCTTCTTCTTCTCCTTAACTTCTTCTTGACGTGCACCTGTTCGCCTTTGATTGATTCAATGCAATCGACAGTGTAGGTCTCTGCAATTTGCGTCGCTTTGTCGTTAGACTCATACGCATTCGGCATCACCGCAAAAGAATTTCTAAGGTGATGACAATCAGAATGCAAATAAAGGCATTGCAAAAAAATAGAAAGAACTTTTCATTTTGTAAGAAGCGCACAATACGTTCTAGTCATTTTTAACTGGAGGTTATTTCTCTATTTTACAATAAATTTAGTAAACTTTAATAAAACATATTTTGACATAAAACTGAAGCGAAACATGAAACGTAC